TTATTTTCTCGGTCTTCTTGTTTCTTCTATTTTTCTTCCAACAACTGCTGTAATCTCTTTTGTTTCTTTTCTTGTTCTTCTTGTTTCTTTTCTTTTTTCTCCAACAACTGCTGAAATCTCTTTTGTTTCTTTTCTTGTTTTTCTTGTTTCTTTTCTTTCTCCTCCAACCACTGCTGTAGTCTATCTTCTTGTTTCTTTTCTTTCTTCTCCAACCACTGCTCTAGTCTCTCTTCTTGTTTCTTTTCTTTCTTCTCCAACCACTGCTGTAGTTTCTCTTCTTGTTTATTTTCTTTTTCCTCCAACAACTGTCTGTAATCTCTCTTGTTTATTTTGCTGCTCGAGCTGCCACTGTTGCAGGTTTTCTTGCCATTTCTGTTGTCTTTCTTGTTTATTTTCTTTTTCCTCCAATAACTGCTGTAATCTCTCTTCTTGTTTCTTTTCTCGTTCTTCTCCAACCATTGCTGTTGTCTCTCTTCTTGTTTCTTTTCTCGTTCTTCTCCAACCACTGCTGCTGTCTCTCTTCTTGTTTATTTTCTTTCTCCTCCAACCACTGCTGTAGTCTCTTTTCTTGTTTATTTTCTTGTTCTTCTTGTTTCTTTTGCTGTTCTTGTATTGCTGCCATCAAATCTGCTAAGCTGTAGTTTGATTTGCCACTTCTTGTTTCATTCTTTTTTCTTTTTCGTTCCACTCTCTAACACCAATTTGTTACATATCTGCTTGTTTGATAATTTCCGGTAAAGTTCTTTCCGAGGAACTTCAGTGATACAAGTCCTTTCTTGATTAAACCAGTTTATTCTTCCTCGATACAAACTTTTAATACACAGTAATTCCACAGTTTATATGTTTCTTGTCACTTTAAACTTAACTACTTTTATAACACTCTATAAATCACAGCAATTCACAATCTCGAAAACACACACCAGCTCAAAACAGAATCATAAATTACCTGAAACTCTCTTCATTCAATCCCGCAGGCTTTCATGCCAGGCTTATATACTAAAAAAGAGGGCATCTTGAGCAAACTCGGTCTTCCCCAATAATTCATACTCATTAGAGAAATTCATCACGTGTTACCAGCCTCACGTGACTTCCGCTGTCATAAGTGTGTTATAATTCAAAGTTTTATTTTATCCAAGTTTTATGTCCCTTATTTCAAAATAAACCTTTAAAAAAACTACTTAAAACTTCAGGTGTAATTGTCATGTGACCAACAAGCTATGAAAATTCTCTTTTTTGACACTCTGTATCTTCATCAACATAATGACAGTACTGTAGAGATATGTCTAGACAAAGATGCTTAGATAACCTTTCAACTCTTTCATTTCAAAGTTTTCTAAATTAATACAATTGGAACAAGTAATACATTTTTTCAACCTCTGACAGGTTCCACACCCACCTTCAACAGATTTGTTTGAGCTTTATTGCCTACATGAAGATGCTAAATACACATGTATACATTCATTAGAAAGAGGTCATTTTACACTATAATCTAACAATGGTTAATTTGAAATTAGCAGTTTGTTGTCATCACAGATTACATGCAATTGACTAGAATTGTTTGCTGCTTGATCAACTATAACACAGTTGTTTCTTACCTAAATATGTTATAGTTAGAGATACACTTAAATTTATTTAGGTCTTACTATGATGTTTTAGTTAATTATGTATTAG